AAAGTTTTGACCCCCCTTGTTAAAGGGGTATGATCCGATTTACAAAAAAAGCGTGCCAGATGAAAGGGGTATATAAATATTTATTATAAAAAAATAATAATATTGATCCATACATTTTTCCAAAAGTTATATAAAATATAAATTAAATAATATAACATATAAAATCGAGATTTTTTTCACGGAAATCGTACGTTTTTCTTTAACTTTGATGTCCGTTTTCACCATGAAGACAAATCCAGAGGTCAAATTTTTTTTTTTCAAATTAAAGTATATTACATAAGCTTTAATTTAAGATATATTTAAAAGTGTCAGTATTTCCGGAATACTTTCAAAAATTAAATTGAAAATATCTTAGTAACAATACGCATGTTTAAAGTTTTGACCCCCCTTGTTAAAGGGGTATGATCCGATTTACAAAAAAAGCGTGCCAGATGAAAGGGGTATATAAATATTTATTATAAAAAAATAATAATATTGATCCATACATTTTTCCAAAAGTTATATAAAATATAAATTAAATAATATAACATATAAAATCGAGATTTTTTTCACGGAAATCGTACGTTTTTCTTTAACTTTGATGTCCGTTTTCACCACGAAGACAAGTCCAGAGGTCAAATTTTTTTTTTTCAAATTAAAGTATATTACATAAGCTTTAATTTAAGATATATATAAAAGTGTCAGTCTTTCCGGAACATTTTCAAAAGTTAAGTTGAAAAAGTTCTACTTTCTATACGCATTTTAAAAGGTTTGCACCCCCCCTGTATAAAGGGAAATGGTCCGATTTTAAAAAAAAGTATGTCGAATGAAAGAAGTATATATAAAGTATTTATCATTAAAGAATAAAGTTGATTCATGCATTTTTTAAAAAGTTATAGCAACATAATGTTAAAAAATGTAAAATATAATATCAAGAATTTTTTCACAAAAATAGCATATTTTTGCATACGGTAGTCATTTTCACCATGAAGACAAGTCCAGAGGTCAAATTTTTTTTTTTCAAATTAAAGTATATTACATTAGCTTTAATTTAAGGTATATATAAAATTGTCAGTCTTTCCGGAACATTTTCAAAAGTTAAGTTGAAAAAGTTAATTTTTTGTAAAAAAGTTACCATTTTGAAACCCCATCCTTTGGGCTGTTAAAGGGTCAAATGTTCACAAAAATATATAAAATGATAGGTAATTATCTAAGGTATCTATAAAAAAAAAAATTATATTGATTCGGTCATTTTTAAAAAAGTTATGGCAATTTTAAGTAAAAAAAATTGAAAAAATATCGAAAATTAGCGATTTTTAAATTTGTAATTTTTTGGGGGATTTCCCCCGTTTACGGGGAACGAGGGAATTTTTTTCAATTTTTGAGGGTAATGTCTTCGACTAGATACGATTTGTGATCTTTTGACATATTGTTCATCAAAATCGGTCCAGCGAGAGCTGAGATTGAGCGTTCACAGACACAAAAAAAAAAAAAAATAAATAAAAAAATAAAAAAACACATCATAGTAAAATTAATACCTTCTCAGCTTCGCATCGAAGCTAAAAAAGACGCTTCGATACGAATCTTCAGATAGTGTTTAATTTTAAAAAATTGGTGAATTATTCCAAAAGCTACATGATCTGCTAGTTCCTTATTGATATCCTGATTAAGATAAAGTATGTCAAATAAAAGAGAGATTATTAAAAAATATTATTTCTCATAAAAAAATTGTGTTGATCCATACACTTTTTAATAAGTTATAGCGTTATAAAGTTAAAAAGTTCACCATGAAGACAAAATAAAGTCCGAAATTTTTTTTTTTTCATAATGAAGTACATTGCATTAGTTTTAATTTAAAATATATATAAAAGTGTCAGAACTTCCGGAACACTTTCAAAAGTTAGGTTGAAAAAGTTGTCATTTTAAATCTCTTTATATGGGCAGGTAAAGGGTCACATTTATAAAAAAAATACCAAATGAAAGGTAATGATATCATGCATCTATATAAAAACAAATTATATTGATTTGGTTATTTTTAAAAAAGTTATGACAATTTTAAGTAAAAAAAATTTCAAAAATTAGCGATTTTAAAAATTGTAATTTTTTTGGAGGTTTCCCCCATTTACGGGGAACGAGGGAAATTTTTTCAATTTTTGAGGGTAATTATTACATAGATTATTTTGCCTATTGAGCTTACGTTTTTTGTTAATGATTTGATGTCTGGTATTTGAAGTTGGTTTCGGAAATAAGTAGACAGTTTGTCCATAACGCCAAACGTAGAACTTAGTAGTGTCATACTGAATGTCTTTATCATATTGCATCATTATTGGATTTCCTGTGTATTATAGAGTTCTGTCGGCAAAAACAGGGATGTCAAGAATTTCATCAGACATCTCGCAGAGTTGATTGACTGATATCTGGATAAATGAAAGAATGAACTTTTAATTGTGTTTATGTTGTATCATTTTTTGTTGTGTTTATATTATTCAGTTCAACATTATTGGTGCTATAATGTTGTTGATTTTTGTGCATAAAGTAATAAGTTATATTATTGAATATTCCATCGAATAATCTCAAACTCTAACCAAAGGTATTGTATAATAAATGTAAAATTCTCACACGAGTTAATAATAGAGGTTAGAATTTTAATTGTAAAAAAATACTTAAAATTCCAGACATGAATGTACCAAAATATATGAACCATCCCCAAATTTGATGTAATTTATCTTCTACCATTGAACTTATAACTGAAGGATCAATAACTTTGTGTAGATTTATTTAGTCTGTTCATGATATCCTAATGTTTGACGAACAATATTGTTTTGTATTGTTGTAATTTCTTGAGCGAATATTAGGTGTTTTTGTAATGCTTGCATTATATCTCAATTATAAATGCCAGCGGACATTAATTATTCCGGGGATTTATAATTCCATGAAAATTTGGTTTCTGGTTTTAATATCTGTGGTGTTTTGACATCAATTAAATGTGGATTGAGTCTAAACCATTCTCCATCTAAGAAGTAAGGACATGGTAATCTATTGTTACAAGTAGTTTCTGTCCCATATTTTTGTAATATGTGTGGTTTTGGTACCATAAAGAATGATTGATTTTGATACGGGTTTTATTGAAACCCGTAATTCATGAAAATAAGTATTTTTTTTTGCCATTTCGACTAGCACTGGTTTGCATTTCATGAGGTAGATGATTTCTCCACTGAATATTGCCATACAACCAGGAGTTTCACATATGGTGTAAACAAATTCTGCTAAACTGTATGAGGATAGACATCTTTTTAAACTAGGCTCTGCTTATGTGAATTATGTTGGTATTTATTTATAATTTAACTTTTTAAAAATTATAATGCTTAAATTTGTTCAAATAAGGTTGAGATCATTCATACAAAGTTTCAGGTAAAGTTATCCTAAATGGCAAATGGGTTGAGTTTGTTGTGGAGGAGAGTTTTTTGATTATTTCTTTTTATATTAAAAATTATACGAATGTTAAGAAATCTATAAGAACCTTATTTGTTTATCTTATTATTTCCTATAAAAGTTACTCATATAAAAAAAGACAGATATCTAATATTTAACTGTAAAAATAGGTCATAACACACACATTTTTAGGTTTAACAGCAAACACGAAGTATTTTATTACTTTTTATACTCCTGACGATCTATTTGAGTTATAGAAAAATGTATCGTATATAAGTTATAGTTGGTCTATTTTCAAAAATAAATTACTTGAAGTATATCTTTCTAAACTCATCAGTCAATGAAATAATTAGAAATGTATAGCTATTTGAATATCTATAAAAAAATATGAAAACGTATAAGTAAACAAAAATATTTTATGAATTAATATAAATAACCTAATCTATAAAATATTTGTAATGTGCTTAAAACATAAAATTTACTTTTTAGAATCCGGGTATTTTTTTCTATTTTCTTTAGAACTAATAATATATATTGTTTTTGAGTTTGATATTGGACGATTTTTTCATTATTATTTTCAATAAATTTAACTCCTCGTTATGCGATAACATTGACTACTGGTAAGTTTTGTTATAGCTCTCATCAAACTATCATTTCGGTGTATCGTTATTCAACAAATTTATATATATGTATATATATTAGTTTATATTAAAGCGTTTGAAAAATTCTTTAGAATTAACATTAATAAATTATTCAAGGCTTTTACTTAATAATTTAGATGCGTGTTGTGGCTTGAGAATGTAGGATTTGCTATTTCTTCTTCTACTTCTGAATTGAGAACTACAACCATTTTTCTTTTTTCTATTACTGTAACGTTATCATAAAATGATAAAACTACAGCTTCCACAATTGATCACAAATTTTTTTATAGATATTTCTGATATTGTTCAATCGATAAATTTATATTTTGTAAGATCTTTTAAGAATAAAATTATGATTAGGACTTGTTTGATGCATTGAACCAATTGTGCAATAAATGTGCAAACACTAGCGACAGGCTATTCTTAATTGTTTGTAGTAAAATTCCCTACCATTGTGTGAAAATAATTGTGATTGGAGAATTAATATTCAATAAAACGACAAAGTAAATTGTAAAATTTTTCATTATAAATAATTAAATTGATTTCTTCTTTTTTAATTTTCAGTTTAACACTTAGTTAAGTATATTTTAAAAACAATTCTTAATACTGCAACTAAAAATTGGCCATAATGATAGCCACAAGAGGAGACTATCCTAAATACTCTATTAAGGTATTTTAAAATTAGCAAAATTGTTTCTAAATAAACTTATTAGTAGATAGATGGTAAAAATCGATAAAACTAGTTAAATGAAAATCCATAAAAACAAAAAACGATAATATCAATATCATTAATTAAATCGAAATCGAAAATGTTTAAATTGACATTTTTATTAATACAAAAGTTATAAAATTGTTATATTAATAAGCTGAATTGAAATCAAAAACGAAAAAAATTATATCGTTTTCAAGCCTTGGTTCTATATTAAAATTATATTTCTATAATTTTAGGTTCAAAGAAGTAATAAAATTATACCTGAGCATACACCCAAGGTAAATAAAGAATAACTAATTTATTTAATTTAATTCAATTAAAAAAAAGGAATAATAAAAAAACATTTCACAATTTATGGTATATGTATTTTTGTATCTTTTTCAAATAATAATACAACTTTGTTGTATCCCTAACAGCTATATAAATAAATGAAACCTTTGAGTCCTAACTGACACAAGTATAAACTTTTTCTCATATGACACAACCAAGGGGTATGTCCAAAACTATCAGCTGTAGCCTAAAAGAGTAATAAGACTACGGTACTGTTACCAGCACAAATTACTCATTAAGTTACTACCAAGGTCATGTCGTATAGAGACCCAGCTGTATTTTAAAGAGAAACACCTTATATCTTTACTTATAATAACATAAAAGGAAAAATAGTTTAATTATGATGCAAAAGTAATAATTAAAAAATATAATTTAAAAAAATTAAACGTGAAAAACAAAAATACTTTTAGAGTACAATGAAGTAATACACGATAGTAAGAATTATTGTCAAAATGAGCAACACAAAAATAATATTACCCACGGTACACCCGAAGTACTCTTTTCTACAATTTATTCCATTCCGTCTTAAATACTAGAACATTTTGTTTTTTAAATCTTGCACAAAGTTAATAATACAACGATTCCCAAAAATGTTTATAAATATTTACTTCCTGGATTAATAGCAATAGATTATGAAATTATAATTATGTTACTATTAAACCAAATATTAAATAAAATGTTTTTACTTTTAGCTTTAAAGATAATAGGCTACATTATATTATATAATTTCAGAATCAAGAAAGTAAAAAACATTTACTTGAACTAGCACCAATGGTATGTATGGAATAACTAACCGAATAATGTTAAAAGGTTTAATAAAAAAATTTCAGGATATTGCCTATTAAATAAAAATAATTTTAAGAATTAAAATGAAATTTGTCTAAAATCATAACTTTGTAACTATATATTAAGGAGAATGAAAGAAAAATATCTATGACTGAATCTGCACTCTTAGTAAGTATAAATTTATTTATTTAAGTATATCGATGCAAAATAAAATAACTAAATTAATCATAATTAATTTTAAAAATTTCGAAGAATTTTCATTTTTTGTATAATGTTTCTTGTGAATAAAAATGACATTCTCTTTAAAAAATACTAGTTATATTCCAGTATACACAAGTCACTTATACAAAGTGTTCAGTAAGTAACGAAACAGGTCAATTGTTATTAGTAATGAGAACAATTAAAACCCGTTTCTTTACTTACTGAACATTCTATATATTTATAATAGAGTTTATGTTCAAAACTTTTATTTTTTGTTAAAATAGCTACATAAAAATGGAAATATTAATAATAAGCAAAATTATTATGCTAATAAAAAAAAAAGCAAAAAAACACATGCGCGCATTAAGGTGAAAGGTTAAAAACGGTAGCACAGTGGGGTCGAGGCACAGTGTGGACGAGGCATAGATGGGACAAGTATAGATGATATCTGACAGTGATTAAAATCACTATCATAAGAAACGCTTCGATGCAAATCTGTAGATAGTGTTTCCTTTAGAGAAATTGGTGAAATATTTTAAAAGCAACATGAACTCTTATTTCTTTAATTATATCCTGATTAGTAGTTCTTTGATTTTAAAATATAATATATGAATAAATACTAATTATAGTTTTTAAATTTAGTATGAAATTGTGAGGCCAGCTATGATGTATGGTTAATAGTGTTGGGCGGTTGATAAGAAAGTAGAGCAGAGAATAAGTGTAGCAGAGATGAGAATGCTTAGTTGGATGAGTGGAGTGACTAGAGAAGATAGGATAAGGAACGAGCATATAAGAGGAAGTATAGGTGTTGCGTCAATCGTGGATAAGATGACAGAAAATAGACTTAGATTGTTTAGTCATGGTATGAGGAAAGAAGAATCGAAAGCTGTAAGAACAGTTATAGAAATGAATGTTGAAGGAAGAAGAGATAGAGGAAGACCAAAAAAGAGATGGAGGGATGCTATTGAATGCGATTTGAGGACAGCTGATGTGAGCGTAGAAGATGTGGGAGATCGTGTCAAGTGGAATCTTAGGATAAGGGTGCCCGACCCCAAGTAGTTGGGATTAAGGCAAAGAAAAAGAAAAATATTACCAGATATTCCGGTGGCAATTGACATAATATGATTGTTATTTCGGAATGTACAATTTAGCGTTTAGTTGGGTTTAAATAATATAGCGTCAAATCAATTACCTACTCTATCGGTTGTATCTCAATATACACTACACTTTAATGATACAATAAATAAATAAACTCACACATACACACATATGCATTTATAACATTGTGTCTAATGTAAGTATAACATGATAAAAAGTAACCGTAAAATGAAAAAAATGGAATATAAATTTTATTACTCATATTAAATGTAATGTAACTCGAAAAATATTTGTTTAAATGAAAAAATATAAGATTATATTTTTATTTATAATTGTCTTTTAAACAACTTTTGTGCGAAACTTTTTTTTGTAAGTTAAATATTTTTTTTTGAGAAAATTAAGAAAGCTCATATTTTTGAACTTTTGCGAGGATTTAAAAAAAAAGCTCAATTCCAATCTTGAGGACTATTAGTATGTCATTATACATATTTTAATTCAACTTTTAAAAAAACAAAATTTTTTCCGCAATTTTTCCTTTGTTGACTGGCCTAGATGTCAATTTTAAACTTGTAATTGAGCTAAAAGTTATGGTAATATATTCAATTTATTTTACTATAAACTTTCATAAATCTTTATCAAAAATTTTTCATCAACTTTAAAGAACCAAAAAAATAGGTTAAAATTGAAAATTTGGACTGATTATTTTTAACATATTAAAAATCAAATCAGTAATAATTTGAAAACAAATTTTTTTTTCTTTTAATTATTATTTTATATATATAATTAGTAATAATATAAAAAATTAGAAGTGATAGAAATAGTCTACTTGCAGATTTGAAAACAACGCAAAAAGTTGATTTAGAACAGTATATTTTTGCTTCTGATGAAAGTTCCTTGTAGTCCAGTGCATTTTTTTATAGTAACAAACAGTTTTTATTGAAAATTATTGTATCAAGCCCTTTAAATTTTTATACACGTAAAAGTAAAGCAAAATATAACTTCTTTATTATTTTT